TACCTCCTGGAGAGTGTTCTTCTCTTGGCTGGATGTTGTGAAAGGGTCTTTCTTTACCATGGCAAGGATCCTCAGATCATCCATCACTGTTGTCCTCCATGGACGTCCAGGCCTTTTTATGTTGCCGAGCTCACCAGTGCATTCTTTTTTTTTCTCAGAATGTATCAAACTGTTGACTTGGCCACTCTGAATGTTTCTGCTATCTCTCTAATGGATTTGTTTTGTTTTTGAAGCCTAACAATTGTCTGTTTCACCTGCATGGAGAGCTCCTTTGACCACAATGTGTGGGTTCACAGCAACAGCTTCCAAATGCAAATGGCACACTTAAGGCCGTTTCACACTGAGCGCGATGCGAAAAAGCGAGGCAAATTGCCGACGAACGTTGCTTTCACACCTAGGTGGTGCCGACCAGCAATGCATTTTTACTCAGATATGTATCTCATGTATGGATTTAACATCGTCCACTGCTCAATATACAGCATTAAATATAGCTAAATAAAGTTTGGTTCTACACCAGAAACATAAACTATCTATAATGCTTACAAGAAAACATCTTATAATATAAATATAAGTACAATTAGCATCAAGCCACATTTGAACATTTATGTGATTATTAATGTTTTTGCTTAAAACCCACTATAAACCATCATCGAGTGCTTGTAATAACTTCCGATTGTGATCTATAGTTGATTTTGATTCTATAATAAGCAGACATGCACTCTTTGTAGGCTATGTTTAATAACGCCACACTGCTTATTGTCATAAACATCCTTTATTGTTATAAAATGACCATGAGCTGCATACAAAACACATACAGAATATATATCGTCATAATCATATGTCTATTTGCTTTCATATTTCATGTGTAGAAAAATGTTTCACTCGTTTTTTAAAACACAGAAGATCTAGAGAGTTAACGCGCTCTGACTCTTAACACTCGCGCACGTGGAAGAAAACGGACACTCCAGATCACATAATTCAATGGAGAATTTAGAAATTATATTAAGAACATGTGAGAATAAATCTGTTCTCAGATACCAAAGATAACAGGAACTCGGCATCCACTCTCT